GTGAGTGAGTTGGTGGGTGGTTAGGTTAGTAGGTGAGGGGCTGGGTGAGTGAGTTGTTGGGTTAGATATGGAGTAGGTCATAGTGTGAGTGGGTGGGTTGGTGCGTGAGTTGGTCAGGGAGTGGGTGGGTGCGTTAATGGGTGGGTTGTTGGGTGAGTGAGTTAGTGAGTGCATTTGCAGGTGGGTGCGTGGATGATTGGTTTAGTGAGTGGGTTAGAAATTGAGTGCGTGGCAGGGTGAGTGGGTTTGTGAGTCGGTTAGTGGGTGTCTTTAGTAGTTGAGTGGGTGAGTCAAAGAATTTAGCGCCACGGTGGCAAGATGGTAACTACCTCGCCTACTATACAGAATGTTGTGGGTTCGATCCCGACCCTGACGCCTGTATATTTCACTCCACATGTAGAAACATGTAATAAGAGGAATTGGGTGCAATAAATGTATACAGCGACTTTGTTGAACCATCAGTGGGCCTTACCTGGTAAAAGAATATCTCACATTACCAGAAGAGGTAAGGACTACATATAGAGTGGGTGATTAACTGGGTGGGTCTGTGAGTGTGGGTCAGTGATCGAGGAAGTAGGTGAGTGAGTGTGTTAGAGATTGTGGGTGATAGGGTAAGCCATGGGTGACGTGAGTGGGTGTGTTGTTTGGGAGTGAATAGACGAGTGGTTGGGTGAGTTAGTGGGTGGCTGAGTGGGTGGGTGAATGGGTTTAGAGATTGAGTGGGTGGTGGGTGGTTGGGTGAATGAGTGGGTGGGTGGGTTTGTGAATGGTTGAGGTGAGTGAGTGGGTGGGTCAGCGCATGAGTGGGTGAGAGGTGGGTTGGTGAGTTGGTGAGAGGATTAGTGAATTGGTGGGTTCGAGATTGCGTGGCTGGGTGAGTGAGTCGGTTAGAGATTGAGTGGGTGGCAGGGTAAGTGGGTGGGTTGCTTAATGGGTGTGTGAGTGGGTGGATAAATAGGTGAGTGGACAGGTGCATGGTTTAGTGGGTGGGTGAATAAGTGAGTGGGTGGGTGAGTGCATTGTTGCGTGAATGTGTGGGTGGTTGAGTTTTTGGGTAGATGGGTGTGTGAATATGGGAGGTGAGTTCGTGTGTTAGTGGGTGGGTGAGTCGGAGAGTGAGGCACCATGGTGCCGAGATGTTAACTACCTCGCCCAGTATACAGGAGGTTGTGGATTTTATCCCAGCCCTTCCGCTTGGATATTTGGAGTTTCTATGTTCTCCCCGTGGTCGTGTAGAATTTTCTCCAGGTTGTCCCTCCACATTTGAACATGCATTTATATAATTTGGTTGCAATAACATTCTACGTGAAAAGCCACTTAATTGAACTGTCATTTGTGCTGAGGTGGCTTCCGACAAATATCTATAGCTCAGGGCCTTACCCAGTAAAATGAAAAACAATTAAATATTAGTTTATTGTGTGGATGAGTGGGTGCGTGCGTGTGTGGGTGGGTGCGTGGGTGGATGAGTGAGTGGATGGGTTGATGCGTCGTAGGTGAGTCGCTGAGTGAGTGAGTGGTTGGGTGCATGAGTGTGAGTTAGAAATTGAGTGGGTGGCTTAGTGAGTGGGTCAGTGTATGAATGGCTCAGTAGTTGAGTGAGTGAGTGGGTGATTGAATGAGTGGGTGAGTGTGTGGGTTAGTGGGTGGGAGAGTCAGACAGTGGGGCGCCATGGTGGCGAGATGTTAACTACCTCGCCTGGTATGCAGAAGGTTGTGGGTTTGATCCCGACCCTGACACCTGTATATTTCCCTCCACATTTAAAATCAACAAACATTTATAGGATTTGGCTGCAATACATGTCATAAGCCACTTCGTTGACCTATAATTTTTAACCAGGTCATTTCTGAAAAAGATGTTTAGCTCTGTCGGCCTTACCTGGTAAAATAACCACAATTTAGATTTAGTTTAGTGTGTTGGTGAGTGGGCGGGTGAGTGCGTGGGTGGGTGGGTGAGTGGGTGAGTGGCTCGGTGGTTGAGTTAGTGGGTGGTAGTGGGTGGTTGAGTTAGTGGGTGGTGGAATGTTTTGGTGGTTGAATTATTGGGTGGTTGAGTGATGGGTGGGTGGGTGAATAATTACGTGGTTAGTGGGTGAGTTGCTGAGGGAGTGGTTGGGCGAGTGGGTGGGTTAGAAATTGAGTGGGTGGCATGGTGAGTGGATGTGTATGTGACTGGGTGAGTAGGTGAGTGGCTGGGTGAGTATGTGAGTAGATGGTTATGTGGGGAGTGAGTGGGTTAGTGACTGGGTGAGTTGTAGTTGAGATTGTCAGTTTAAAAGTGAGTTGGTGGGTTAGAGATTGACTGGCTCGGTGAGTGAGTGCTGGGTGGGTTAGTGAGTTGTTGGGTGGGTGAGTGTTAGTGGGTGGATGATCGACTGGGTGGGTGGTTGAGTGAGTAGATGGGTGGGTGGGTTGCAGTGACGTGTGGTGAGGTCAATGGCTGGGGAGGCACTGGCTTGTGTCAGAGCCAGATTCACACACTGAGGGGGACGTGGCCTCACGGAGGGGGGCGTGTTAGATGCATCCCCCTCAGTGAGGCAAATGTGATGGCTACCTCCCCTGGTGCTTTTTCATTGCAGTTTCATGACGAGACCAGCGAGCCTAAATATCTTTATACACATACGTGAAATAAGTTACCTGGAGTATGGAAGGCGAGGACATGAAATGAAGGGGTCTACAAACATTACATTGGTGACATACTGTGATAGTAACAGGCACGCACTTATTGCCCGCGCTCCATCCAGTAACTGAGGGGTTGCGTAATCAGGGGAGGCTGAGCTCGTCGCTGCCTCACCTCTCGTCTCTTCCTGTATTTGCAGCGGAGCTCCGCAAATTTGGCGATTTTAACTATAAAAGTGGAATCTTACAGAAATGACATTTATAACACAGATCAGTGGAAAAATCTTTTATTTTATTTTATTATTCTCTTTTTTTTACTTTTCGTAACAACTATTGTCATTGGAGTATGACAGGTGAGGCACTGCCTCCCCTGACCGCACGTCCCTGGTGGGTTGGTAGGTTGGTGAGGAAGTGAGAGGGTTAGTGGGTACGAGATTGAGTGGGTGGCTGGCTGAGTGGTTGAGAAGATGGGTGTGCGATTTCATGGGTGAGTGAGTCGGTGAGTGAGTGGGTGAGTGGGTTTTTGTATGGGTGAGTGCTTCAGTGGGTTCATGAGTGAGTGGATGGGTTATTGAGTGAGAGGGTGGGTATTTGAGTAAGTGGTGTGCGTGAATAGGTGAATGGGTGGGTGTTTGAGTGAGTGAGTCAGAGAATGGGGTGCCACGGTGGTGAGATGGTAACTACCTTGCATAGTATACAGGAGGTCATGGAATTGATCCCGACCTTCCGCCTGTATATTTCGAGTTTGCATCTTCTCCCTGTGGTCACGTGGATTTTTCTCCGGGTCCTCGGGGTTTTACCTCTGCATTGAGAATAAACTTGCATTCAGAGGATTTGGCTGCAATGCATGTATATGTGATAAGCCACTTTGTTTACCTGTAATTTGTAACAAGGTCGCTTTTGAAAAAGATCTATATAGCTCTGTGGGCCTTAGCTGGTACAATGAGAAATAGTTCAGTTTTCGTTTATTGGGTGGGTGAGTGGTTGGTGGGTGATTGATTGAGTGGGTGGTTGGGTTGGTGGGTGAGTGTTTGAGTTAGAGAGTGGGTGGGTGGATGGGTGGGTGTGTGAGTGGGGGAGTGAATAGGTGAGTGGGTGGGTGAGTGGAGTCTAGAGTGAGTGAGTGAGTGGGTTGGTGGGTGGGTCGTTGAGTTAATGAGTGGGTGTGTAGGTGGGTGCACAGGTATGTTCTTGAGTGGCTGTGTGTGTGCATGAGCAAGTGAGTTAGCAGTTGAGTGGGTGGCAGAGTGAGTGGGTGAGTGTGTGTGTGTGGGTGGCTTTTGTAGTTTAGTGGTTGGGTGAGTCAGATAATGAGGCGCCACAGTGGCGAGATGGAAACCCCCTCGCGAAAGCCGACGTGTTAAACTGGTATATTGGAATTCGTAGGTTTGACCCCAACCCTGATGTCTGTATATTTGGAGTTTGCATCTTCTCTCGTGGTCACGTCGATTTTCCTCTGATTCCTTCGGGTTTGTTTAACACGTAGACTTTCGCGACCAATATCATACATAATAGAGGTTTCTTTTTTTTTTAGATTTGAAGCTTTCGTGACTGCATATTCTAAGGTTTTTTTCAGTAAAGTCACGTAGGTAAAACATTAAAATTAATAAAAGTAAAATAAAATAAAAATCACGACGTTTCGGAGGCAACACAAGCTTCCGTCTTCAGGTGGAACCGTCACAGCCACGACAGCTGTATCAAGTAAATGAGAGATTGCAGGAGCTACCACTCCGTTTTTATAATGGTTGGAGAGGGGGGGGGGGCCAAGTACAGCACACTTTTTATTAATATGGTAAGGTGAGGCTTAAGAGGGTGAGCCTTTGTTATGGAGAGGTACGGTTTGTGACTCAACCTGTGACAAGGAGACAACAACTAAACATGGTAAACCTGCAATAGTTGTCTGTCAAATAAGATTGGCCAAATAAGTGTAGTTAAATCTTTTTTGCATGGTTAATCACATCTTTCCAATGATTACTCAGTTTGTAACCATCATCACGGTTGAAATTATGTCTGTGTTTGTATATTTGTATGGCTTCGTGTACAAACCTTTGATGGTAGCCAGGAGGTTTGCAGAGAACCTTGGTCTCGGAAAAGACAATTTCATGAGAGCCCACCGAGTTGTAGCAATGATCGGCAACGGCCGAAGAATCAGTTCTGCCGTGTTTCAGATCTGACTTGTGCTCGCGGACACGATCAGAAACATGACGTTTCGTTTCTCCAATGTAGCAATCACCACAAATGCAACTCAATTTGTAGACTCCAGGATACTGTAAGTCAGGAACGACATCCTTCACAGATGGAATCAGATCACGGATTTTATGCACTGTACTGAATCGGACTTGGATCTTATGTTTGTTTAGAATTTTGGAGATCTTTTTGGTCACGCATGCTATGTATGGTAACGTGATAGTTTTGGTCGGAGTTTCATGTGGCTGTTTCTGTGTGGTGGGAGAAACAGCTTGGCAGATAATGCGGTCAGAGTATCCGTTCATCCTGAGGGCCCGATGTACATGTCTTAATTCACCGGCCAGGTGGTGTTGGTCAGAAATGCCATGGGCTCTGTGGTATAGCGTTTTGATGAGAGAATTCTTTTGAAATGGGTGGTGGGGCGAATCCGGTTTCAAGTAGGAATCTGTGTGGGTGGCTTTCCTGTAGACAGAATGTCCCAAGGATCCGTCAGGCCTCCTCTCAAACAGAATATCCAAGAATGGTAGTTTACCGTCTTTCTCCACTTCCATGGTGAATCTGATGGATGGGTGTCTAGAATTGATGTGGTCCAAGAAGTGGTTCAATGCTGGGAGGCCATGTGGCCAGATGACGAAAGTGTCATCCACATACCTCTTCCACAGGGAAGGACGCAGGGTGGATGTCTGGATGGCGTCTGATTCAAACTTTCCCATGAACATGTTGGCTATAACTGGTGACAAGGGGGAGCCCATAGGGGTACCCTCATTCTGTTTGTAGAAGGTGCCATTCCAGGTAAAATAGGTGTTGGTGAGGCAATGCCTAACCAGCGCAGGTACATCAGAATTCAATCCATGTTGGACTAAGTCCTCAATTATTGTTAGGGTGTCCGGTACTGGGACTTTGGTGAACAAAGATACTACATCAAAGCTGACGAGGATGTCATCAGGAGATAGTACCATGTCCTTAACCATAGAGACTAATTGGGTTGAGTTGAGTACTGCCGAAGAGGTCTTGCCTGTGAAGGGGAGCAGAGTATCTGATAGAAAACGGGCTAGTTTGTACGTAGGAGAGTTTATCATCGACACGATGGGTCGTAGCGGCGTGCCTTCTTTATGGATTTTGGGAAGACCATAGAGTCTGGGAGGTCTAGCCGCCGATGGTTTTAGAGAGGGACGTTTGCTTGGTTCGATTAGGGAAGTCGAACTCGTGATGATACTGTTTCTCAGATTGATGTAGCCCTCAGAGGCATAGGACACATCCATGCAGATGTAGCAAGAGCTGAAATAGCTACTATTCTTAAGAATGCTACGAAACCCACTAGTAACATCAGCAAAAACGAACGCTCTGAACTCGCGGACCTAAAAAAGAGAGATGATATAGTCATCCTCTCGGCAGACAAGGGCACGGTCATCATGGATAAAGATTCATACAACAACAAAATCCTGGACCTTAATGATGGGAGTTACTCCAAAATTAAAAACGATCCCACTAAAAGCCTAACGACAAAAACCAACAGTATCATCACGAGTTCGACTTCCCTAATCGATCCAAGCAAACGTCCCTCTAAAACCATCGGCGGCTAGACCTCCCAGACTCTATGGTCTTCCCAAAATCCATAAAGAAGGCACCCCGCTACGACCCATCGTGTCGACGATAAACTCTCCTACGTACAAACTAGCCCGTTTTCTATCAGATACTCTGCTCCCCTTCACAGGCAAGACCTCTTCGGCAGTACTCAACTCAACCCAATTAGTCTCTATGGTTAAGGACATGGTACTATCTCCTGATGACATCCTCGTCAGCTTTGATGTAGTATCTTTGTTCACCAAAGTCCCAGTACCGGACACCCTAACAATAATTGAGGACTTAGTCCAACATGGATTGAATTCTGATGTACCTGCGCTGGTTAGGCATTGCCTCACCAACACCTATTTTACCCGGAATGGCACCTTCTACAAACAGAATGAGGGTACCCCTATGGGCTCCCCCTTGTCACCAGTTATAGCCAACATGTTCATGGAAAAGTTTGAATCAGACGCCATCCATACATCCACCCAGCGTCCTTCTCTGTGGAAGAGGTATGTGGATGACACTTTCGTCATCTGGCCACATGGCCTCCCAGCATTGAACCACTTCTTGGACCACATCAATTCTAGACACCCATCCATCAGATTCACCATGGAAGTGGAGAAAGACGGTAAACTACCATTCTTGGATATTCTGTTTGAGAGGAGGCCTGACGGATCCTTGGGACATTCTGTCTACAGGAAAGCCATCCACACAGATTCCTACTTGAAACCGGATTCCCACCACCACCCATCTCAAAAGAATTCTCTCATCAAAACGCTATACCACAGAGCCCATGGCATTTCTGACCAACACCACCTGGCCGGTGAATTAAGACATGTACATCGGGCCCTCAGGATGAACGGATACTCTGACCGCACTATCCGCCAAGCTGTTTCTCCCACCACACAGAAACAGCCACATGAAACTCCGACCAAAACTATCACGTTACCATACATAGCAGGCGTGACCAAAAAGATCTCCAAAATTCTAAACAAACATAAGATCCAAGTCCGATTCAGTGAAGTGCATAAAATCCGTGATCTGATTCCATCTGTGAAGGATGTCGTTCCTGACTTACATTATCCTGGAGTTTACAAATTGAGTTGCATTTGTGGTGATTGCTACATTGGAGAAACGAAACGTCATGTTTCTGATCGTGTCCACGAGCACAAGTCAGATCTGAAACACGGCAGAACTGATTCTTCGGCCGTTGCCGATCATTGCTACAACTCGGTGGGCTCTCATGAAATTGTCTTTTCCGAGACCAAGGTTCTCTGCAAACCTCCTGGCTACCATCAAAGGTTTGTACACGAAGCCATACAAATATACAAACACAGACATAATTTCAACCGTGATGATGGTTACAAACTGAGTAATCATTGGAAAGATGTGATTAACCATGCAAAAAAGATTTAACTACACTTATTTGGCCAATCTTATTTGACAGACAACTATTACAGGTTTACCATGTTTAGTTGTTGTCTCCTTGTCACAGGTTGAGTCACAAACCGTACCTCTCCATAACAAAGGCTCACCCTCTTAAGCCTCACCTTACCATATTAATAATAAGTATAACCCGTAAAAACAAAGTTTTTCACTATAAATCCTTTATATGTGTGGCAGCGAACTTAATATAAAGGATTTAAAAATATATTCGCCTGTGGAGGACGCGGGGATCGATCCCGCGACCTTTGGCATGGGAAGCGAGGGCGCTACCAACTGCGCTACTCCGCCACGGCCTGTGGAGGGGTTACGCTCTGGGCTCTTATACTGTGACGTTCAGCCAAAGCCAAGAATGAGTTCTTTTGAATATATGTAAAATATTATTTTTTTGCCTAAAAAGTGTAAAATTTTGGGAATTTTTTTTCACGAACATTAATTGTCTGGCACAACGAGTCTGTGTGGAAAATGTCAGCTCGATTGGATCATGGGAAGTGGGTTAAAAAACGACCGAAAGATTTGCACGGTCCTAAGCAAGCAAGCAAGCACGCAAGCAAGCGAACTTAATATAAAGGATTTAATAAAAAACGACCGAAAGATTTGCACGGTCCTAAGCAAGCAAGCAAGCACGCAAGCAAGCGAACTTAATATAAAGAATTTAAAAAGTGTGCTGTACTTGGCCCTTCCCCCCCCTCTCCAACCATTATATAAACGGAGTGGTAGCTCCTGCAATTTCTCATTTACTTGATACAGCTGTCGTGGCTGTGACGGTTCCACCTGAAGACGGAAGCTTGTGTTGCCTCCGAAACGTCGTGATTTTTTATTTATTTTACTTTTATTAATTTTAATGTTTTACCTACGTGACTTTACCGAAAAAACCTAATAATAAGAGGTTTCTTTTTTGGGTTAGATCGCATAAATATATAAATGTGTCGTTAAAACCCACCACCACCCGACACAGCCAACTAGTAAGGGTTGTCACGTACGCAGAACATGCCAATTTGTAACTAGTACAACTCACGGTGTGTTGGAGAGTCAAGCCACAACATTTACAATCTGAGTACGACGTTTCGCCAGTAATTACAACTAGCTTCATTAGGCAACAGCCAGATTTGTGGAGCCTGTTTTTATCATTTGCCTGTTATCATTCGCCTGTTATTAAGTTAAAGTAGAAATTGTTATTATTGTTGTAATCACGTTATCAGTATAGAAATAATTGTTATTATGTTAAAAGTAGAAATAATTATTGTTATCAAGTTCTAAGTGGAAATAATAATTACTGTTCTCATTCGCCTGTCGTTATCATTTGCCTGTTGTTATTTTTCGCCTATTGTTATCAAGTTAGAAGTAGAAAGTTATTATTATTGTTATCATCCACCTGGTGTTGGTACTGCACGTCTCTAATCCAGCACTGTGGAAGGTAGCGAGGGCTGGTGAATCACCGCACAATGATGTTGGCAAATCCCCTTCCCGTGGGTGTCGAGGTGCCATAACCTGACTCGCCAGGAGAAGGCAGTAGAGCAAGTGGACTAATCGCCATCTTCACCTGTACAGGGATAGAGTGTTTCACCCTCGCACGCATGGGTTTTCTCCGGGTACTCCGGTTTCCCCCACTGGTATAAACACTCGTCATTAATTAGCGCATAATGCCTCCATAGAGGACCGCAGAGCTTGGACAATTGTTGGTACTGGCTCACCACGTGGCTTCCTTCCTGCACGGCTGTGGTTCCTCATGCCTCTGAGTCGTTCTTGTGCTCGCTATAAAACTTTTAATTATTACTATTATTCGCCAGGCGGTGGTGTTGCAAGCCTGTGATCCAGCAGTGGAAGGCAGCAAGGGTGAGTGGATCACACAGTGAATGTTGTGAAACCCCCTTCCCGTGGGCATCCAGGTGCCTTCTCCTGGCTGGCTGGCCAGGAGAAGGCAGTACAGAAAGTGGGATAATCGCCATCTTTGCCTATACGGTTTAAAGTGCTGCCCCACGGGTTTTTTCCAGGTGCTCCGGTTTCCCCCACTTGTGTAAGAACTCATCATTCATTCGTCGAAAACTTAAAAAAAAAACTATTCAGGACCCGACTGTGACTCAGTGTGGTTTTCCTGGAGTAAGTCTATTTTATTATTATAAAGAATTAAAGGGGATGTTTAATGACACGACTAGAGAGCTGGCTTGCACTGCGAGGAACTTAATATTCAACTTGAATTCCGCAACCCTCAATGGCCTTTTTAAGTTAAATTTGTGCATGTAAGACTCGCACAAACAACCATACCCAGAAACCCATAGACCCCAACAGAGACCCATACATTCCTACAAACACTCAGACTCACACAGCGACCCCATACTCACAGAGACTGATAGACATGCACAGAGACCCATAGCCTCACACAGAGATCCATACACTCAAAGGCCCAAAAACTCACACAGAAATCCATAGATTCGCACACAGAGATCAATAGATTTTTAATTTGAATATTTATTTATACTGGATGAATCTGATGAGCTATAACGATCTGTTTTCACAGACGTCCAATCGGGTGGGTCAGAAAATAACAACAAATATACAATACAAAAACATCACAGGAAAGGTAAACAAATTGTTTCGAAATATACTAATTAAACTGAACTCTTTTTATCTTACCATAGACTCATACAAACATGTTGGACTCGCACAGAGACCTTAACCACTAAACCTCGAACAATTAAAACCCTCTAAACCCCTAACTATCTAAATCCATAACCATCTAAACCGCTAACCCTCTCAACCCCTTTACCCTTACAACCCTAATCTTTAAACCCCTCGCCCTCTAAAAGCTTAACCTCTAAACCCCCAAAACTCTAACCATCTCAACCCCTAACCCTCTAAATTCCTATACCCCTAACCCTCAACCCCTTTACCGTTAAAACCCTAACCCACCAAAACCCTCACTCTCTAAACCCCTTATTCTTTTAACCCTAACCGTCTAAGCCATTAAAAACCAAACCCTCTAAACCCTCTGAATCCCTAACCCTCTAATCCTTGAAACCCTAACCTTCTAAAACCCTAAATCCCTAACATTCTAAATACCAACCAATCTAAACCACTACCCTCTAAAGAACTAACCCTCTAGACCCCTAACCCTCTGAACTCATAACCTCCTAAATCCTCAACCTCTAAAATCCTAACCCTCAAAACCCTAACGTTCTAAAAACCTAAATCTGTAACCTAATCCTAACACATTTAAACCCCAACCCTCTAAAGAACGAACCCTCTAGAA